AGCTACTCTTTCTGTCAAATGTTCCCCCTGCCATCTCTGCACCCAGCGTCACTGGTACATGGTGGGCTTTCATTGCATACTGAATAAATGAATGGTGGTTGTCAGGAATGTTTCTACCTTAGACTAGGAGCTTTTGAGGGCAAAAATGTGCATGAGCTCATGCCTGAACTGATGCTGTGAGGCACCCCCTGGGGGCTCAGTTAGGTTTTGCCGTAGCTTCGACAGAGAAATTCTAAATAGAGGGTGTCATTCTATGAGAAAAAGTTGGCCATCCTTCTAAATGGGCATAAAAACTCTAAAAGAAGCAAACAAAAAATTCCTAAGATTCTTCTAAGGGATACAAGAAGAGATAAAAATTGTAACACCTGCATGTTTTAAGGACGTCAGCACTGAAAATTCAAGGAGGGAAATGTGGTTTTCTTATACTTTCTAGAAGCTATCATTCATTTTCATCAGATGAGCAAATGTCCCTTGTCTGGGGCTCAACATTAAGAAGACAATATAAAACAAAACTAAACTTTATCTGTGCTTACTGAAACTGAATCAGTGCATATTATACTCTTATTTTGGAGATACTTTGTTATTACTTCTCTAGGCAAATAGAGGAATTTATTTAAAAGAATTTCACTTTCAAATTACATGTTTTATGAGCCGTCTGTGTTCCAAAGACAAACAGGCACGAATAAAGATTCAACCCCTATTAAACATTCTTTATAATGTTCTTATATATTCTCCTTTCTTTAAGAAGTAACCAAAAACCATTTTTCCCATTTCTTAGTGATACCACATTTCATGTCTTGGCACGCAATTGTCTGGGGCTCAATATTTTCCTTCTGTGTTATTTAGACATTTAGTTTCTTTCTTTTTCCAGCTCCAACTGCCTTCTTTGGACTCTGTTATGGAGACTGATAATATTTCAACAAATATGTGAATTATGTTAACTATAAATAATTCAGGGGTCTTGACATATATGCTTCTTGAGAGTCGAGGCTATTTCTTTCACCTTTTCATTATTAGCATCTAGCAAGTGCCTGACACTAGCAGGCCTGTGCTCCCTATTTCTCAATGGGTAAGCGGACACCTTATATTAATAAATCACCTCTAACTTCTTTTAGCCCCAAGAAGAGGAATGGATAAGGGACCAAGAAAAGATTTATATGAGATTCTCATTCTTGTTCTAACACTGACTTACAAAGCAAAGTTTCTGTAGCAGACATACATCATGGAGCTGGGGTGTCGGGTCTGTTGCAAAGTGTTACGATGTTGTAAATTACAGTCTTAAACCAGAGACTGTGTTAGCTATTTCCCAGAGACCAAAATTTTAATAAGTAAACATGAAGAAACAGGTATCAAGGATTGCCAGCCTGCTGGGTCTGGAGCACTGGAAGCCCCAGTGCCAGCCTCGAGCGGCCACTATTGACTGTGACTCTGGGCCAAGCAGTTCTCCCAGTCCTGCCTCTGTTTCCCCATTTCTAAAAGCAGACTATATTATTACATAACAAATAATAATATCTTGTCTTGCTTGCTGTTGGGAGATCACTAAAAGAATTTTAAAAAAAGATCAAAGAGATAAAAGTCCTAGGTAAACTCTGGTATTTCATTTAAATATAAATTAACAATACTATCATGAACAGAAGCATGGCATGAAAACAGCAAATATTAACTTTATATTTTGTTTCATGCTGGTATAATGTAGGACGATGGCTACTGGAAGTCGAAATTAAATAACTGAAGTAGAAATCATTTCAAATTTAAGTCAATATTTTAGGTGGAAAAACAAAGGTTCTTTAAGATTAAGGTTTATAGTGGTGATTAGATTTGGGGCAACATCAATGCTTTGGTGGTAGAAAAGTACAATTATTCACATGTAAGTCTTCATGATTTATGAAAAACACTCAGGTTATCTTAAGAAGATTGTGATGCAATCAATAAAGAGATGATAATTCACATTCCTTGCCACTGGTGAGTCTTAGGCCAGCACAGTGCACAGGCCTGAGGTGGGGGCTCTCCTGACACCCAGCAGTCACACTTGCTCTGAAAACAAATGGAAAGGCCACTGAACTTGCTCAACTTCTGGCTTAGGTCCCATGGAAATGAAGTGAGTTCGGGGTCACTGGGATAACCCATGTATTTGTGACTGGGTATTTCTGCTCTGTAAAACCTTCTCTTAATTAGAATCATCCAGAGGAAGGTAAGATTTGGTAGACTCAAGAAAAAGTCATTGCATATTACAAGCTGTGACATAATCAGGAAATCGTTGTACGGCATACCTTCTAGATAAAAATGCAGCAAGTTGAAAATTTTATATGCACAAAAGACTTGCATTGAACGAAATGTGATCAGTGCCATTTCATCAATCTTGACCCAGAAGTTCAAGATACCTTGAATGAAGTGTTGATTTTTCAGGAACACTTTGATTTTAGAATGGATTTGGAATCTATTTTCTTTAGGGAAATCAAACTACCCAGCAGGGCAAACCTATCACAAACTCTAAATGAGTACTTGTCAATCAACCAAGTTTTAACTAGAATTGAAAGGGCTTCAGGGAAACAACAGAAAATACAAGTGCTTATTTGAAGCAATCTATTGATTTTGAGATCATGTTTTCCTTCCACGTTAAACTTCTAAAAGGAATAGCCCCAAATGTTGGCAGTGACAAATAAAACTGCATTTATTACATTTGCCTATCTGCTTTTTTGAGTTTCTGACATTAATTTTGACATATCATTTAGAAATTACATAGTATTTAGAAATTATAATTTTTAGTATTTAGAAATTATAATTTTTAGTATTTAGCAATTATAATCAGATATATTTATAAGGTTTACAGTTTATCATCTCAGAGATGCTGACTAGTGACTATGTTACCAGTAAATGCTAAAGTGAAATAATTTCCTGTATTCACAATTATCTTGTTGAGTTAGATTCATGATTTAAAAAAAAAACCCTCCAGGTTTAGATTCATTTTGAAGTTAAACCAGCTCTTCACTATTTACAAGGCTTTTTCTGACTTGAGATAGTTCTCTCCGTGTTTCCCTCCTGTCTTCCCCTATTCAATCTTGGCTGCTGCAATCAGAAAGTATGAGGATACTGTCTTGCACCTGTAGTGGAAACCTTAGCTGCAGACATAACTGCCGCAGGTCTCATGACTCTATTCTTGGACATGTGTACGATAAGCTGAATGAACCCCTACCTCCCTCAATTTGGTTTTACCCAAACCAAGAGCATCTAACTGCTACAACTCTTAAAAACTCAAACCTGTGAGCAATGACAACAGCAAAAACGTTAAGAGCAATAGTGCATATTGAGTCTATTGAAATATCTGTGCTGTAAAAGACATAAGACTTTGGCTAGCCACCCATTATTAGATGTTTCTCCCCACCCTACCTGGTATTTTAAAATCCATGGTATATATTAAGAGGAAGGAGAGAGGAATAAGCAAAATTTGTCAACGTTAGAGTTGTTTTGGGCCGGGAACTAATTATATTTTTTAATATTGATGTGCTTTGGTGGTACTGATAATGTTTCAGTTAATGCGGGGTTTCTTTCGCTTTCACATCCTTCTAGGATTATACGAAATAGCCAAGATTTTCGGGGCACCAGGCTTTCCAGGCCCATGACCTCCTTCTTGCTTGCTGCTCTGTAGGGGTTCATCCAACAGTCAGGTTTGCTCAGAGAAAATGAGAAATGTTCTTGGTCAAGGCTGAATATCCTCCAAAGAGCTCAGTTTAAACAGTCAGCTGGTTAATGAGAGAGCTCCGGGCTCCCTGGGGAGTTTTACGTGAGCAATCCCAGCATCATTCTCTCACTTTTGGAGGTCCACACCTCTGGGTGCAGGTGGAGGCTCTTGCAGGGAGAGACTTCCCCCAAGATCAGTTTCTGGGGAAGGAACAATCTGCAGATAGAAATTTTCTCTTCTTCCAAAAGAAGGTGGGCCATCAAAAGGAGGTCAGAAGGGAAGTCGGTGCCTGCCATTCTCCTTGGCTCAGAAGCCGGCAGGGAGGCCGACAGGCAGCCATTTCAATAAATGCAGATAATCAAGTCCTAGTGTTCATCCCAGATGACTCAGAGTCAAATATTTCCTGTATTTATTTCCCTTTTGCTCTCTGTAATTCAGTGACTCTCAAACTTGGCTGCGCATCAGAATCGCCTGGACGGCTTGTGAAAACCCAGATTGCTGGGCGCCAGCTCCACGGTTTCTGCCTGGTGAGTCTGGGGGTCGGGGGGTGGGCTCCACCTGCATTTCCAGCAAGCGCTCGGGTGACGGGGATACTACTGGCCCAGGGAATCACGTGCTTAAACTGCTCCTTCTCTAAATATGGGCCACAGACTATCCGATCAGAATCGCCCAGAAACCTTGCTGAAACACAGGTTTGCGGCCTCACACAATTCCCTTCAGGAGTGAAGTGGACCTCACACCAGAGATCACCACCACCACCAAAACACCTTCCAACTCCCTCATGTCAGTTTTAACACCAAAGAAGGAAAAGGCAGGGTGAGATGCTCGTCGTGTGAGCTCACATCCTGCATGGACACCAGCACTGGCGCCCCAGCAGGGGCCACAGACCCAGAGCTTCAGCTGCTGTCCCTGCTCCGGGCCCTCAGTCTCAGTGCTCTGAGCTCCCCAGCGTGCCAGGGAACGGAGTAAAAAGCGTGTTAAACACAGTTCAGCAAGTGCACCCTGGAAACGCCGCCTAAGCCGAGCCCTTAGCCTGCAGCATCGATCTGTGTGGTAGAAATGATGCAGGTGGTAGTGTTCTTCTACTCGTGGGTGCACCCGTGCTTCCTGAGTCTTTGCTGTCTGTTTTCCCCAGCCTGATGCATTTGCTTACAGCCAACACGCTAGACTGGCAAATCTGCCCCACCACTCCCAACATGTTCTAAAATTATAAACCGGAACCGACATAATCTTAGAAGCCTCATGCTCTGGGCCTCACACATCCTCTGCTCAGCGTGCGTCAGACACAAGGCGGTTCCGTGGGCCTCCTGGGCTGTGTTACCTGAGCTGGTTGAGGCGGGGGATTTGCTGCGCCTTGAAGGTGCTGGACTCTTAGTGGTGCTCCTGCGGGATGATGATGCTATTTTGGTGTAAGAAGTGGACTTCACCACTCGACATTCTGGGGAAAGAACAGCAAGCGCACATCATTACAGGGTCATGGCACACACCAGCCCAAACACTGTAAACCTGGAGATAGAAACACACGGCCGCCCCCACTCACACCCGGCTCCTGCCAGCGCAGCACTCTTCAGTCACAAAGGAACCAAGAGCACAATGAGAAGGGCCACAGAGGGCATCGTAGGCACCAGAATAAATAACCCTGCAAGCCTTCTAAGTGCCCTTCCTCACAATAATATTCTGGATGGATTGGGAATAATAATAGCCTGGCAGAGAGGTGCTTTTGTTGAGTTATTTCCCCATCCCTTGAGTTATTTTGTATATGTGTTTCTTTCAGAATTAATTGTTCTTTCTTCCAAGAAAAGTGTTAGATGAACGGCTGGCCTCATAAGCTGAGACGTGATGATGGAAAACTCCACCCTCACATCTCATTTTGTTGTCCTCAGGCACCCCTGCAGTGACAACGCTAGGGTGGCCCTTTACCACGCGTGGAAATGACAGCATTTGCTCAGACGCAGAAAAATCAGCAGAGGTAACCCTGCATGGCTGCCGGGGTACCTTCAGCAGCACCCACCTCATGATCAGGTCTGTGAGATGGTTCTTGGCCTGAGGATGAGAAACACCTGCTTTTATTAGACTTAAGTCCTTGGTGTTTGTACTCATTAAATTCAACACTAAACATCTTAAACAGCAAAGAGCTTTTCTATTTCTCCCTTGGTGGGCTGCACTGAGCAACTGTGATGTACAAGCCCACACATCTTGTGCTTAAGAAACCATTTTTAATCATTAAAAAATATTTGTATGCCTGTAATGATCACCAATGTACACTGCAGATAGAAAAAAATAAAGAATATTTTTTAAAACACCCATCAAATGTTACTTTTTTGGGGGGCTGGCTGATAATACAAACTTCTAGAATTTTTTTCTACCCATTTATATATTTAAACAACATCGGATTTGTCTGTATATACTGATCTATTATCAGCCCTTTTCACAAGACAAATACTGTGAGCATTTTCACTCTGTCATTTCATGGCTATAGAACATTTTACTGCATGAATGTACCATAATTTGTTTAACCAAATTCCTACCGTTGGACATGTAACTTGTATTCACAATTTCACTATTATAATTACTCAATGACACCCTTGTAAATGAGCATGCAGTTATCTGATTATTACTTTAGGACACATTATTTCTTTAGAACAGCAAGTGCACATCATTATAAGGTCATGGCACATTCCAGCCAAGTGGAAACCCCGGGGCATATTGTAGGTGCTTAAAAATATCTGCTGAATAAAGTGGGATTGTGGGTCTAAAGAGAAACGCTTTTGAACTTTTGACAGATGGCCCTCCAGCCAGGCTGACCCAGATTGTATTTTCATCAGAGTACGAGGCTGGCCACTTGCCTGAATCCTCACTGAGTTCGGGTATCGTCTATTCAAAAAATCTTTGCTAATTTTTAAAGAAATACTGGACTTCATTGCCTTAAATCTGAATTGGTGATTACCAATAAAGTGTAGTTTTTTCCCACATATGCTTATTAACCATTTGTATTTCTTCTTTTGCAATTATTTACTCATGTCTTTTGGCCATTTGCAATTAGGAAATTCTTTTCTTTTTCTTATTGGTTTGTAAGAATGCATTCTATATTAAAGTTTATCCCTTTGTCATGTTATAAATTTTTTTCTTTGTAGGCATTCATTGAAATATGACAGCCTTTAAACATGGCATTCTTTTAAAGTACAGTAGTTTAAAATTGAAATCTAACCTATTAACTTTTCCATTCTGCACTTTTTTTAACCATTTTATGCTTGAGTAACCAAGAAATCGTAGTAATTCCAGATCTAATTCTGATGCCTGACTTTAACTTTGAAATTTTTCTTCATTACCCATGCACTTTCTAATTTTCTAAGCTCAAAACATGTTTCTTTCCCTTATACATTCCAAATGGCTTTACATAAACATCTTTTCCCATTTTTTCCAAACCAACAAAGTAGTTCATGTTGTTTGGTAAAGAAGGAATGTGTTTATGAAAATATAAATGTTACAAGTCTACCCATCAGAGGTAGTGGAGAATATCTCCTGGATTGCCTTAGGGTTGAACTACTGGGGGTAAAAAGAAGAGGAAGGAATTAGAAAAAAAGATGACGGCAGAAAGTTGGTCTTTAGATGTTAATATTTGTGGCTTTGTAGCCAAAAGCAGAGGGAAAGTGAATCAGGGTCCCACTGAGCTTCCCCAACAACTACCTGGGCCTCTTTTGTCTGTCCTGGCCTGCCCGGGTGGCCCTGCAATAGATTTCCATTCCTTAAAAAATGAAAAAAACAAAACCAAAAACCATGCATATGGACATACCAGCAAACACAAAAAGACAAAAGTAGGCAAGAAACATAATGTAATAACTTCAGAAGATATGACCAAGAACAAGGACCATTTGCTCCCAAAGGGGTGTCTATGGAGGTTGTAATTCACAAAACAAATCTTTGGAATATGTGAAAAGGGCATCCAATTAGCTCAAGGCTCTACTACACAACTGACAACTGACAGCACAACCTGAAGTTTGTCATAGCCTTCGGCTATTAGCCTGGCCTTTTGGAAGGATATTAGCAACCAAATTGGATTGCTGCAATGTTGCTGGTCCACTGGCATGTCCCCAGTTAAATTTCTGTCATGTCCACTATGTGCCCAGCACAGAGCAATGCAGGCACGATGGAGAGAACACAAAGCCTTGGGACTTGGCACAGTGACCACCCGGGAATGCAGTTTGGGGTCCTTTAACCAGCAAGGGCTCCTTTCTGCTAATTTCTATTTCATGGACCTTATGCTTGAAAAATGTTGCTTTATGGAACAAATCACTTTAAGTAATTATACGTTTCTCATTTTAAATCAAAATCAGGACAATAATGAAGGCAGGATGACCAGGACTTTTGGATCCCAGGTCATGAACATTTAGAAGCCACATAAATTTAGAATTATAATTTGAAAAGCTCAGTATCTAGTTAGCAGGAATGAACAGTTAAAATAGAAAGCTACCAGATGGTGCCCATCGGTAATCACACCCATCTGTGAGCCGCAACATGAATTAAAAAGTTGATTTTAGGGTTTGTCGCATGCTATTTGCCCCAGGTGCCAGAATTGCTAGCTGTGGCTCCAACTCCCAACCAGGGCTCCAGGTCGGAATAACAGAACCATCTTTCCACGCTAACTGACACTTTCCCAGCTACCAGAGAGAAAGCAGTGAGGTGGCTCAGTCTTGTCTGGGCAAATGCAGGCGTTCTGATTTCAAGTATTGCAAGAAACCTGTGGGCTCCTGCCGTCTAAGGGCTGTAGCCCCTTGTGCTTCTCTAGAGTTTATTTCTCACCATATTATCCCTCTACTGGAGGGAAAATGGAAGTTCCATGGCCAGGAGCCTCACCTGATACCCACATGCATGATGGTAGTACGTGGCCCACTGTGCGGGCGTGCGCTGGTGAACCCGTTGGCAGCAAGCCATTACTGCCTGTGTTGCTGTAGACGGTTCTGCCTGTTGCTCGGGGCAGAGGGGAGCAGGGGAGCCTGGGGCGGAGGCGGAGCCTGGGGCAGAACCACCCTGAGAATGAAGCTGGGTGTGAGCCCCTTTTAACCCCCAACATTCCGTTGTCCTTAGTGAGTCTCACAGACTCCAAAGCAAACTTGCTGGGGCTGAAACCCTCAGAGAAGACACCTACCAAAAGCATCCCTTTATTAGTCTGCTCCCCACCTGCTGGGCCCTTGGGTACTAACTACCCCTGGCATATTAAAACCCATGTAAAGTTGTTTGATAAATATTGGCTGAATTGCTATTGATCCCGTTACCACTTATATAAACTCGTACCATCACTGGACTAACCCGACCTCTCATTTTACAGAGAAGGAAACTGATTATCAGAGAGGATGAATGACCTGCATCCAAAACCCAGTTCCTCGGGTTGGTGGCGTCTTCACCACCCCAGGATCCGATGCTGTGGCCTGAGCAAGATGTTCCATTAAGAGTAAAGGCTGGAAAATTTCTGTCCGTGCCAATGGTCGGGGGAAGACAGACAGTGGGTGATGGAGAATAGAGGGTAGGGTGGCAAAATACCAACACTACATTAAAATTTAAGATATCAGCGGGGCAACTGCATCAACATGCTTATTGCATCAGAAGCAAAGGCACAACCTATTCACTTTCAGAAGTGGCGTTAGAATGAAATAATAGCTTGGGGGATCGTAGAGACTGAAAGGTAACTACAAGCATTTCAAATCTCACACCACCTGCCCCAGGATAAGAGCAAAGCTCATGAGTCACGCAGGGGGTCAGAACACTTCTGAGAGGCAAGGGCCGAACAGCAGAAAACAGAAACAAAACAATGACAGTAACTGTCTGTTTTCCTAGGGTCCAAACAAAACCAACAGGAGAAAATTGCAACACCAAGCCATAAATGAGGGAAAAAAATACGAAAAACTCCAGCCATCTTTCCCGGCAGAGTTTAGATTTTAAGTATTTCAATTAATTTAAGTGGGAATGGTATTTTATAAAGCTGGAAAATGCGGTGACAAAGGAGAAAAGCTTTAGTACTTTGGGAAGGAGCCAGTCTTTGTCAGCCTCAAACCACAGCGGCCTCCAGTGAGGGTGCAGACACCGCCCTCCATCCCCCCTCTCTTGACGGGTCCCCTGCATTCTGATCTTTCCAGCACCCTTGTGTTAAGAGGCCTGCCTTCCCTTTGGCTGTGGACATACTAGACGAGACACTCCTAAGGAAGTTGACGCAGAAGGAACGGAGGGCAGCCCCTCGAAGGATCCTCGGGCATAGTGATTTCCCTTGCTCCTGAAGATGGCAGCCGACCCAAAGGATAGAAAACCAGGTCAGACACACCCACTGGGTCTCTGGTGTCTGGAGCCCTCATAGGGAACAAATGTCTGATTAAGTCTCCGCCTTACAATGGCCCCACATCCACAGTTCTGTGACAGGCAAGGATTCTCCGTGTGGTCTACACTGAT